CTCAAATCTTTTCTATCAGCTGCGAGCAGCTAAACCTGCCACACTCTGCTACAATCCAGCGATTAATTCGGCTTTAAGGAATTATGTGCAAATAATGCTTGACTTTCGATTCCTTTTTGATATTCCTCACTTTCTTTGCTATATATTTTTAGACAATTGATGGAAGCCGATTTTATGAAATGCCTCAGATTATCCCTTTTTTTCACATAAATACATATAAGCTGAAAAGCTTTTGATACCCATTAAAAATGTGAAAAAAGTGTAGCTTGATGTTGTGCAGCACTTAAAGGATAAATATTCCTGATCAGCATCAACAACAGAGTCGATTTAGTCATCTTGGAACTAAAGACTTCAAATTTGGCATATAGAAATTCGTATACCCTACCCAAATCCAGCTTATTTCATTTAATCGATTAAAAATCGATTTTCGATAGCAAAAAAAGCCACCATTTTTAATATAGAACTGATGTTGAATATATCTTGGCATATTATCAATCAACTGTACAAAATTCCTCAAAATCTGTTAAATAATACACAAGTTGAACTCCACTTTAAAGATATTTTAAAATACAAGCAGAATCCGTGTTTTAATCGATATTAAATATATCGAATAGTTGTACTTGAAGATAGCCTACACTAGATAATTTTAAGTTGGTTGGCAGTACTATTTTGGGTTAGCAAAGGTCTTACTTGAAAATAGCATGGTTTAATAAAGTAATTAATACTGGACTTGGACTATCTTTCTCTCTCTCTCTCTCTCGCTCGCTCTCTCTCTGTCTCTCTCTCTCTCTCTCTCTCTCTCTCTCCTTCACACACTGTCAATATGAAGCAAGAATAAGAAAAACCTTCATTTTTACTTAATTTCATTATCGAATTCTGTTTCGAAACTACGAAAGAGTAATTAAAAAATTTTCATTAAATACTTGACAATTTCACAATTGTATTTTAGGCATGCCCCAGATATTGGCACATATATTGGAGGTATTCTGGTTGCTAAACAATATACCCTTTCCTTATTACTGATAAACTGTACAAGTTTCATTAAAATCAGCTGGATATTTCCCAGTCGAGCGCTCTTGACTAGAGCCTACTTACTTATTTCACTTTCATTTTCGAGAGGTATTTAAAAGTATTGATTGACTGACTGACTGACTGACTGACTTCCCACAGGGTTGCCAAACCAAGGCTAAGAAGCAGAGACGCAATCGTTGAGCTTGCTCAATTGCCACAACATTCACATTCTTTTTATCATATTTCATATTTCTTTGCCTTTTTCTCCAGCTACACTTTTATTGTTGTTGTGGCGCCCCAAGGCAAATAGGGGCGTGTAGGTGGGAGGGGGCGTATAAAGTCAGTGTGCGTTAAGCCGAAAAGTGTGCATAAATATGGAAAAGAGCACGTAGAGCAGACTACGCAGATAACAAAGTCAGAAAACAAGCCATTGATAAATGTATTTCTGTTTGTATTTGTATATAGATATATATATATCTTTATATATATATATCTGTATTCCTTCATTTGTATTTGTTTGCTGAGGGATGTATGTGTGGGTGTGTCTGCATATTATTTGAATTTAAATGTTTTTGGGTCACATTTCGATATTACTTTTAATGCGAGTAAAGCCACAAATTCACCTTTGCAGGCAACAAATAACAGCAACAGCAACAACTACAACGACAATATTGAAATGAAACCACAATTCTATACCTGTTGTTGTTGTTGTTGTTGCAAAAATACTTTGTGAATGAAGCCAGCAGCATCAAAGCCAAACAGAATAACAAATAGAAAAGACAAAGTTGCAAACTGCAATCGCAGCAAATGCTCTGCACAGAAATGGACCCAATCACAATTCCGACCAAATGAAACAGAAAGCGTACAGTGATAGAGCAGAGGGGTGGGGTTGTGAGGGGTAGAGGGAGTGGCGAGTGGGGAGGAGGAGGAGTAGAGATAGAGGGTGGCCAAGAAATGCACTCAAACAACTGGCAAAACAACCAGAACAAATAAGAAAAACAAATCGAAAGAAATGCAAAATAAGGTGAGTTAATGCTGAGATAAATAAGTAAGAATGAAGCAGAGGAGAGTGCTCGACGTGGCAGATACCCTGCAACGAAGAGTAAGTAACATAAGAAGGTATATTCAAGAGTTGGGCAAAAGTTGTCGATGGATGTGATAATTTGATGTGCACATTTAAAGTCTCTATTTGACAAACAGACTGACTGATTGACTGATTGCCGGACTGACAGATTGACAGACTAACAGACTGACAGACAGACTGACAGACAGACTAACAGCCGACTAAACGTTCCCAGATGAGAAACCAAAGATTTTTTGTTTTGCTGAATTGAATTTATTTCATATTGATGATTTTGACGCGGTCTCGATTTGATAACCATAAAATGAGCAATATTTGTATTGCAGCAGTATTATTATTTTGACCGCAAGTGTATACTGCTTTCTTCTGTTTGTTACAAACTTCAGCACAACTTCAACACACCCTTTTTATGCATTTTCAATTTGCTTAGGGTAGCAAAAGAACCACATAAAATCAAGGATAAATTCTTGATTCAAGGACTCACACAACTCTGACAAATTGAATATTTAAATTGAAGCGAGACGACAAACAGTCGACAAAAGTCGACAATTTAACAATAGTTTATGGATTTGCTGATGAACAAAGGGCAAAAAGTAGAACGAAAATATTACGTGCTTTTCACACTTTCGGCTAGCAATAAAATTGGCAGACCGCAAGCTGTTGCCAAAGGCCTGCAAGCTTTCACACACACACACGGTGCTTACAACTTTTGCCTGTTGCAAGAACATGTATCAATATGTGTTAGTCCAACAACTGTTGTAATTTACATGCGAAACCCTCTCCCCCTCCCCCTGTCACCCCTCTTATCCTTGCCGAACCCCACTCTGACAAAAAGCGCTCAAAACAAACAGAAAAACTTTTTAATTTTCGTGCTCGCTTTCATGGCCAACACAAGAAAAAACAAAAAAAAAATAATAAAAAAAAGGCAGGCACAAAAAAAGACTGTTGCCGGCTTTTGCGCGTGTTGATTGCACATCATTTTCAATGTAGCCAGCTAAAAAGTACGCTGCGACTTTTCCCCCACTCGCTTTTCCCGCAATCGCTTTTCCCCCACTCGCTTTTCCCCCACCCGCACTCGCCTTTGCTTTCTGCTTCGCTTCCATTTAGCAGCGCTTATGTGCGGCTCAGCGACATATTAAACAATCGAAAAGCACTTGCCGAGGACATCAAAAAATTACAACAAAATGAGCAACAAAAAAATGAGCAAAGTATAGAAAATAAGCAGAGGAAAATAATTTGCACGCATCACAAGAGATACCAAGAAAAACGCATACAAAATTTGATTGGCATTTCAGGGGCAGTTTTTAATGAACAGCAAAAATGCCACAAAAAAAAAAGACAACAACAAAAAACAACAACAACAACAAAACAAAAACCATAACAACCACAATCCACAAAGGAAGAAAGGAAATAAAATTGACTGTAAGCCTGCAATTTGTTCATTTTAATTGTGAATTTGAGGAGCAAGCACTTGGCTCAATTGCAAAATGATTTCTTTTAATTAAACGCGGCTTTTATTTTGAACATAATTCAATTTTTGTTCTCCAAGACCAACAGATAGCTATTAAAGAATGTAGTGGAAACAAATTTAAATTAATGATTTTAAAGAAGCGGGAAAGGTTTGAGCGAAATCTTTGACAGCGCTGGAAAACTATATATTATATATTTGTGGAACTGAGTTCCAACTGAAAGCATTTCTAAAAACGAAATACATTTTTAAGCAACATTAAATTCAATCCAAACTATTACTTATGCTGTAATCAAGCAAAATATATTAGTTTAACATATTTGTTGGCCTTTAATGTTGATTTTAATCTTGAGTTTCAATAGAAAGTTAGTTTTAAAGTACTTATAAAATACACAGAGAAAAGTCTGCATTCATCATATCCTCAACTCGAGCACTCTCGACTAGCACATTCCAGCTTGTTGTTATCTTTTATTGCAATAATATACAACAGCAATAAGAGCAAACAAAATGTTAGCTAAAACAACTTATTATTATTGGTTATTATTGTTGCTGGCAAATAAAACGTTGATAATTCTGTTAACTGAATTAGGCGCTTAAATAACGCATTTTGTGGCTGCTGTTGATGATTTTGGTTTGGGGCATAATTGATTTTTTTTGTGGTTGTTGTTAATAAACACACAGTGGCCAACAGCAGCAGAATGGGGCAGCAGCCTGCCACATCAATGAAAGCCAAAATGCACTTGCCAAAACACACCAACACACACACGCCAACACACACACACACACACACACACACCAACACACACACACCTAGGCACACAACTATTTGGGCTGGTCAATATTTATCGTTGATATACTCGAAATGGGACCTGGCAGTCCTGGCAAACAAGTTTCGCTGCAATGCAAATAATCAAAGAGCCACAAAAAAAAAATACAACAAAAAAAAAAACAAAAGCAGAAGCAGAAGCAGAAGCTATTGCCAAATGGTATTGACAAGCGAAATGTTGAATGTTTTAACTGGTTTCCAGCTAATGGCCACCAGCGCAATTTAATGCAGCTGTCATATTAAAGTGTTTAAGCTATGCCTTTTTGAAAGGTGTAATAAATTTGTATATATTATGCATGTATTTCCACATTATGATTTCTTTCTACAAATATTAAAATCTGTCAAAAAAACAATCGATAAATTTTGTTTGTTACTGGGTAAAATGGGATAACTTTGCTTCATTAAATATGATTTGGCCTACGACCAGAATATATATTGTTGCTTCTAATGTTCATCTTAATAAAGTATTTAAAAAAAAAGGAACTTTAAAATATTTAAATGTGTCCAAAAAATCGTTAGAAAAAGTTGTATTTCATTTTGTTAAATTTTGAAGGAAATTGTTGTGCAATAGCCGGATACAATTTGGGGTTTGAAGAGAGGGTTGTGGGGCTTACCTGAATTGGGTCCATTGCTGTTGGGTCGGGCAGATGGCGCTCCGTCGCGGGCCTCCACCTCGAGGGCGTAGGCGCCCTTCTTCTCCCTGTCGAACACGGTTTTGGTGAAGATTTCGCCGCTTTGCAGATTAATTTCAAAAAATTCTTTGCCCTCGTTTCGCGGCGAGTCGACAATGTAGTAATAAACCTGCAAAATACATAGATAAAGCACACATACCGTTAGAGGCAAAAGTCAGGGGAAAAAATGTATATACGTTGAATTTTGTTGACAAATCAAATAATTGTCAGGAAGTTAATTAAAACATGTCGAGTTCAAAGCGGAAATTGCAGAAAAGAATTTAAATCAAGCAACAACTGCGCAATATGGGCAAAAAAGCTGGCTGAGGCCCATTAAAGGAAAAGGTGATGACGCTTTTCACTTACACAGAGAGAAAAATATGCTTTATTAAAGCTAAATCTTTTGCTATTGGTAAATGAGCTTTTTTCTTTTGAATTTCGAACTCATTTGCAGATTTATAAAGACTCTATTCTTGGAGAATAAAAATGCGCATCAAATTCAGCAGCAAGAAGAGAAGAAACTTGATTCAAGGATTTTATTTAAGAATATATTAAAGCAAATTGTCAAGGCTTGAAGATGATGAATTGGTTCCGTTCTTCTAATATATTTTCTTATTATATCAATTCTACAAATAGCTAAACAAATGCTGACTTGCTTCAGCTCCAGCTACGATTCCAAATTGTAATCGATAAAGTTATCGTTTCAGTTTCGTTTCGGGTTCCTAAAGAGAATATTCTTTTGCTTTCTATGCGCACAAATAATAGGTGAGTTTGTTCAATTTTCTCGCTGTGTAACATTAATAGTAATCTGCTGCAGGGAATGCGTCTTGCAGCGAACTTGTCGCTTCTGTTTTACAGTTGCGGCTATAAATGAGAAAACGCTAATTAGTGCGAACATTTTGCGCGAACATGCAAATTACTTGGCTGCAGGACATGAAATGTGTTGGCCAAGTAAAGCTAGAGAGAGAGAGACAGAGAGAGAGGGAGGAAAGCAGGCAGTGGCCAGTTGCCAGTTACCAGTTACCAGTTACCAGTTGGCAGTTGGCAGTTCAGTTACCCATTTTACCATTTAGCCATCACCCAAGTGCCATATTATTATAATCGCGAGTGCCTAGCCTTAGGCTGCAACCCCTCCCTCGCCTACCTCTCCCCTTGTAATCACTCCCTTTACCCCTCGCCTACTGCTAGCCCCATTCTCTTTGAAGGTCCAGCGCCCTCAAGGTCTGCTGTCAGACGCATGAAAGGCGCTTGTGTTTTTTCCTTTCTATCTTAGTTTTTTGCCGCATTTTTCTTCTATTTTTATGCTGTGTGTTTTTTTTTGCTGCGAACTTTCACTGAGAGCTTAACGTGCTTAGAGGGCGTGTGAAAATACTTCTGCTGCTGGGAGCTACAAAAAAAGAAGGAAAAAGTGACAACTCTTTGACATTTATTAGCCCCAGCTGCACAGACGAGCAAAAGGCGGCGAACGCAGCAAAAAAAAAGAAAGACAATTATAATGGGAGAAAATGAGTGCTAACAAAAAAAAAAAAAAAAGAAGCGGAGCTGAAAGTGTGAACACTGTCCATATAAATAGAGGGAACTGGACTGGACCCAAAAGCGGCCAAGGTAAAGCAGCTCAGCAGGAACTATTTAAGCTCTGCTCGACAGTTTGATTATAAAACGCTTAAGCTGTGCAGAACAAGTTTTTCACTATAATTGTGAATTCAGATTCCTTTTTTTGGGTTCACACATTGTGCGAGCAGACATCTCTGGAACCATAAAGTATACATACAACTATATAAAATCGTAGAAGTGGATAAATGCTAAAAGCTCGCGAAGAGTTTGAGTTGCTATTCAAAATACAGAATGCAGTAACAAACACTAAATTACAGTGTATTTTCTAACTCAAATTTTCACATTTTTTGTTAATGACTAAAAACAGTTCTGTGAGAACTCAACTCTTTTGGAAGCTATTTGGATGAAAATATTTAGCTGCCATTTTCTCTCTTTGGTTAGCAGAAGATGAGCTTGAAAACTAACAAAACGAGTCTGGTTTTAGAGTAGATATCTTCGAACTGATAAAGTATTTAAACATGTTTACTATTCTTAGGATACGAGTCTTTATAGTTTATAGTGTTGCTTGTGCCTCTGTGAATTAATTTCTTAGTAGAGTTTAGTGGATGAAGATTGTTATTCATGCTTTTTATGCACTTGCAGAGTGAATTCAAAGTTTCTCGAGAAGTTTGTGAGGCATTGCAGGAGACGCCATCGACCACAGAAAGTATATATATTCTTGATCAGCAGCGACAGACGAGTCGATGTAGTCAAGTTGCTCAGTCTGTCGATTTCTATATGAATTAGTACGTAAGTTTTAAGTCTAAGAAAATATCGTAATACTATTTCAAATAGTTACCCATGAGAATAATCACTTCTTGTATGAAAAACTTTTCTCTTAATTAATATGTCCTGCCTAAAATAAGCCTTTACAGTTATTAGAATACTCGCAAACACTTTAACATTAAATATTGCTCAAACAAAGTTCGATTTCTCTATTTATTATTCATTTTTGCATGAATTTATAATATTTTTCCTGTTTCGCAGTGTAAATTTTACCTTAAATAATTGCTGAATATCAAGTAAGTTGCCGCGGATTTGCAACCGTTGAAATGAAGTGGCATCTTCAAGTTATGCTCAAATTAATCGCGTATGCACTTGGCACATGGAACATGGCACATGCCACATGTGGCATAAGTGAGTGAACGAGCACATAACGGTGTATGAGAAGATTTGCAAACGCTTAAGTTGCACTTAAAACGCTAGCTGAAATTTAAGCATCGCTTCAACGCTCCATTAACCAAATGATGCTTTAAACTGTTGCCCCACTCCTCCCTCCCCCCCCAACATCCCCAAAAAAGCCACACTGCCAACTTGTGACTCTTTTTTGTCATCTTCACTTCACACAGACACACACACACACACACACAGAGGCACACACAGAGGCACACTCGGATAGAGTCATTCATTTGCCAACAATCGCCTGGCATTTCCGTGGCTCATCCCAACCCATGCCAACAATTCCATCCAATCCGGCATCCTATCAAACCAACCCCTGCACCCCCCTTCATCCCCTGCACCCGCCTGCCCCGCTTGATGTCAATTTATTCACGTTTCGCTTACGTTTACGGGTTGCTCACCTGATTATTTGGGAATGTGCCATCCTTGTCGATGGCATTCACTTGTGTCACTTTGGTGCCAATCGGTTCGCCCTCCAGCACCGTTTCCTGTTCGCGTTCGGTGAATAACGGTATTTCGTCATTAACATCCTCGAGCATTATGTAAACGGTCGCTTCCGATGCCAATTGCTGGGCGCCATTGTTCTATAATATCACAAAAAAACAGCAAAATAAAACAGAAAATTAAGTTCGTCTCTTAAATGTTTAATTTTTCATTTATTTATTTTTTTGTTTATTTAAATATGCTTTGCATAAATAATTCATAAATGGTTGATTGCGTGTCGCAAATAAAAGTGCACATTTTCAAATGTATTCAATAACAAACCTGATTTCAACACAAAAAGCAAACAAGCTTTATTGTTTCCATTTGTTTAATTAATTTTTATTTATACACATAGAGAAAGTATGCGCCATAATCAAGCAGAAAAATGTGCAAAATTATCAATATCACAGTGTATATTTTCTCTATAAGAAAAGTCTTTGAAATTATGGTTTTCATTGCAATCGTTGATCGATTTTTATCGATATTGGGAAAGCGGCTAAAGTTATCGATCAAATGGAATAAACTTTAACTTATAAATCCAAACTTAAGCTCTCTAGACAATATATACTTTAAGAAGAGATATATTCCTCTGTCTTTCAAATACTTTTCTTACTAAAATGCTTTTAGCCATTTTCAAGTTCAGGAATTTTTGTTCTTCAATCGAAAGTTGAAGTTTAGCAAATAAGTTTTTTTCTGAGTGTACTCGATTTTAATGAGCATATGGAAATTGAGTCGTTAGCTGCTTGTTATATGATTGATTGAGCAAATACAATCAATCAATCAATAAATCGCATACTTTATTATGCAATTTATTAGTCTGCTCGAGAATGAATTAAATTACTGAGTCCGCTCGGCCACAGCCAGGCAGGCATTGAGCATTCTGTTTGTCATTTAACCGGACAAATGTGGGGTCAACTGGTTAACACACACACACACACACACACACACACACAGTGTGTCTACACATTGGTTATCTATTTGCTTAAAGTCTGTGTATTAATCAATTGAAATGATATGTCTTCCAGATACTTATGTGGAACATGTGTTTGCACTGTCTTTGACAGCACATAAAACTCAATTTCAGGATGTGGTTAACACTGCCAGCTGTTAGACAGAGAGAGAGAGAGAGAGAGAGAGAGAGGGAGAGAGAGGGAGACAGCGTGTGTGTAATCGGATGAGGCAGATCTAAGGCAATTGATAATTTCGAAATGAATTATTTAGTTTTGCCATCGAGTTTTGTGGGTAAATATGAATTTGTTGGTTTGCCAGCTAATTAATAGTTTGCCGACACACTTTGACCAAGTTTGATTTGGTAAACAACATTGGCACGGGTACAGTTAACACCAACGGATATCAACTGATACACCTAAATACTTGTCACAATATTTGTTTAGTTCAATTGCGCAAACTGTTGTCAAATACTGTGAATTATGCTTATTCGATTCATTTAATTTGCATTTATACTTTGAGCAGGATATCGTCTTACGGAATATTCTAATGCATTAAAGGTGGCATCGCTCTGAATATATATATATGTATATATGCCTGATCAGCATAGTTAGCCTAATCTATGTAGCCAAGTCACTCTGTCTGTGTGTTACTATAAGAACTAGTTTGTATTTCTGCTGCAGACAATATATAATCAGAGCGCTATATAACTGCAATAGGAACAATCGGTTGAAAATTGAGTTCTTCTACGATTATCATTTTTTCTTTACGATAATATCCGCATCAAGCTCCTAATTTATGTGTCTTCTTAAGCTTCTCACAGCAGCAGCAATGGGCTACTGAATTATATAGCTGTTTTAGGATTGATCGATAGATTTTGTAAATATATAGTTAAGCTGGGGTCATATTTTACACGGATATATATTTCTATATTGCTGAATATTTGACATCAGTTAAATTTACGAAAAGTATACAAAAATTGGAAAAATTTAATAAATGACTGTTGATGTCATATAAATAACATTTTGGCTGTTTAGAGAAGCCACAACCAACATTTGCTGCTAACCGCAAAAACAATTCGTAAAAAGTCTAAAAATTGTACAATTAAAATGGAATAGCATTCAAAATATGCACTGAATATATATTTTATTAACTTGCAATCTGACGCGGCAACCGCAAATAATTGAAAAATTAATTTCACCAAAAATTCTTTGATGCAGCAGCAACAACAACAACAACAACAACAGCAATAATAATAATAATATAATAATCTGGGCAATGCTGTCCATTAGCTGTATTTGCTATGCATGCCAGGGGGATATTTAATTAACTGCCTTTAAATGGAAGTTGCAATTGCATTTTAATGGCAGAGGGATAAAACTAATGCATGTCCCTTGGGGCAACATTCACATCATTTGTGGCATTTGTTGGCCGCTGCTGTTGCTGATGTTGCTGTTGCAGCTGGTCAGTTGCATGTTTAATTTATTGAGCAGCTGAAACAAGTTGTCAATAATTTTCCAGCACAGCTGAATGGCAACGCTAATGAGCTGCATTAAATGGCGGCGCACAAAGGGGTAGATGTGAAGAGCCATCTAAAACTTGCCACTGATTGAATTTCAATTGAGAATCACAGTGCCGACGACTGACTTTGACTTGGCTGAGTGACAGACTGACAGACAGTCAATCAGTTGTTCAGTTGCCACATTCCACAACTAATTGCCACTGCGCACTGCATTTGCATTTGACGTGACGCTGGATGGGCTGGAGTGGGCTGGAGTGGGGTGGAGTGGGGTGGTGGCATGCTGGGGACGGTGTGGTGGTGGTGGTGGTGGTTACAAGTCGCTAAACTCGCGCAAGTAATTAAAACTTTTCAAATAAAATAATTATAAAACGTATTTGGAAGTCATTCCCAAATACAAAAGTCAAATACATGCTGCACAGCTTGAGCTGTGCGCTTAATTGAGCTCACAGCAAACTTGAAAACTTGAAGCAACTTTTTCGGTTTTGCGTTTAGCGTTTTGGGCACTTTTCGCTATTTATTCACGGTTTGCCGAAGCGCATAATGAGTATATTAGTTTCGATGCTGCATCTCGAATAGAGCGAAAGATTGTCAACATATGTCTTGGAAAATAATCAAAAATAGTTCAAATATAATGCGACAAATTTGACATTTATCTTAGTATAAGCAATCAATATTGAAGTTAAATAAATAACTATAAAATATATTTATTTAGCTAAAATGAGCCAATCAAAATTCACTTTTTAGAAAGAGACCAGATATTTATGCTCCTAAGATATATAACTCTATATAGTTTATATTAAATAAAGTCTGTAAATTTAATAAGATTTTGTTCAACAAAAATAAAATAAATCAGAAGACGTTCAATTTACATATTATTCGTATATTATTTTATATTAATATTTTATATTAATTTACTAGTCTCTGCACTGTTTCCAGCGCATTGTGCAGTCGACTATAGCCGACCAAAAATGACCAGAATTTTTCTTTACACTTTCATTTTTGCAAGCAAAAAGTTGGCTTGTTGTAATTGAAATGGGTATCAAGTTGAGTTAAGTGTTAAATGTCGAAACTTACCTCGACGCGTATGGTCAGATTGTACTCCTTGATGCTCTCGTAGTCGAGCGGATGATTGACCTTTATGTCCGCCCAGGTGTCGCCATTGTCCGGTCTCTGTTGCAGATAGAATGTGTGAAACTTGTTCGTCTGTGCCGTCGAGCCGGGCATTAATCTATAGAAAACCGTCGGATTGCCCTCAATTCCCGAACTGCAGACGTTGGCGGGTGTTGAACAACGATTTCAGAAATAAAATAATCATATATAAGTAATTGGCATAGATTGTTGTCTCATTTATACACTGATATGACAGTCAACGAGAGAGAGAGAGAGATAGATAGAGATAGATAGATATAGATTGAGACAGTCGTTAGTTAGTGTAGAAAGAGTTTTTTTTTTGGCTACATGAAGTTTAAGTTTCGGAAATAATGATATTATTTTACTACAAAATGAACTTTAAATACTTTTTTAATTTGCAAAAAACAATGAAAAGTATTTTCAAAAAGTTTTGACAAGCAGTTAAGAACTCTTTGCTTTTTCATTTTCAAGTTTCTTAAGTTGCACACAAAAATAATTAAATGTATTTAGAAGCTAGATGAAGTTTATAAAATATCTATACATGTTACGCACACACACACACTCGTACACACACACACACACTCTGCTCAGACACACACACATGCGACATATCAAAATACAAAAAAGTTTGATTTATGACACACAACAAAAACATATTCGCAAGAAATTCGATTGCAAGGAAAAAAAAATGAAGAAAATGCTGCGCTTCAAATTGGAAAATTCTTTGCCTTTCCGTTAAGCGTCTTTCGTGCAAATCAACCCAAAAAAAAAAAGAAAGAAAAGAAAATAAAGCGTGAAAAGCTAAGAAAAACTCGGCTTCAACAGCAAACAAATAAAGAGACGAAAAAAAGTAAGCAAGGCGCAAAAAATGGCTTCAAAACATTTAATTGCCATTCGAGTGTCAAAAAGTTGTTGGAGTGGGTTTCAAGAGGGGTGGTTGTGTAATAGGGGGTTGTAGGTGGGCTGGGCTGGGCTAGGGTGGGGTGGGGTGGGGTTTGAGTAGAGGGGCCAGCAGATGATGACTGTTTGTTTGCTGCGTGTTGTTGTTGTTGTTATTGTTATTGTTGGCGAGGCGAGGCGAGGATAATGAAAAACAAATTAGGCACAAGGAGGCGGCAAACAAACAAAATAAATTTTATTTGCACTTGGACAACACTTGCAGCTGACAGAAAGATGATGAGCAAGAAGAAGAACAACAAAGTTTTTGCAAAAAATAAAGAAGAAGAAAATCTGTCAGGTTGCGCCAAAAATATATACTTGTTGTTGTTGTTGTTGTTGCTGCTGCCAAGGACCAGGACTAAAAGGATATTAGTTGGGTACAAGGCAAACAAAAAAATATGTTGCAAAAAAGTTGGTTGTGGACATTTTTTTCCATTTTTTTCCATTTATTTTTTGGTGGTAAATGATTGGATTTAGAGGCTGTGAGTGTCGTGTGTTTGTTGTTGTTATTGTTCTTGTTGTTGTTGGGGTGTATTATATATATTTTTGTAATTGATTTGTCGTTGGTTGTATTGCAAAATCAAAAAAAAAAACTATTGTTTTGTGTAGAACTTGATGTGAGAATTTTTGTGTGAATTTTTTTTCATAGGAATTATTTTTTATTCCGAGCACTTGGTTTGATTTTTTAAATATATATAAAAGTCTTGGTTTGCAGTTGGCGCCTAAATGCTATAGTTATTTATTTGATCTAAATGCTAAAAATCATGATTATCAATTGAATTGAACGGAATAGAAAGCAAAATATTTAGTTCAGTAAAAACAGGCTGTCAAACTGAAACCGTTTCTGGAATTTATTTGATTATTAAATAAACTAATAATATATTTTTCTCATAACTGATTCTTAGAGGAATTGTTGAATCTGTTACCAAATTTTAAGCATAAAACTTGCGTTTCCGGTTCCGGTTCCGGTTTGACAGTCTGCTTTCAAGCACTGCTGATAACATTTATCGTTAAGTTCTGCTGTTGAGTGTGACCCTCATTTAACTTAAACCCATCTCATTGTTATTGTTGTTATTTGTTGCTGCTGCTGTTGTTGCTGTTGTTGTTGTTGTTTTAGTGTGTTCTTAAATGCATGCCGCACTTGAGGCAAGCACTCGACAACTGGCGCATTAAGCGCACTAAAACTACAACAACAACAACAATCTAGACAACAACAAACAATGGCAAACACACATTTATTATGAGATACGCGCACTTGAAAATTGCTGCCAGTGTTGCCCCCCAAACTCGTTTAGACGCTTAGCAGTTTTCTCGCTGCTCTGCACACACTTTTTCGCTACGCGCTTAATAGCATCTTGGCTAAACACACACACACACACACCCACACACACACACATATATATATATATATATATGTGTAGTAATATATACACATGTCTAGCAATATATATATATATATATATATACATATATATATATATGTGTATATATATGTATATAAAAAGTTGACAATTTTGTGCTGGGACAAGATAATTGCAAAAGGAACAAAGACAAACAGAAAATAAACCCAAAAACACAAACAAAAAAAAATAAATAAATTGTTTTCATTTCTGTTTTTTTTTTGGTTTTTTTTTTGAGTTGAAAATAATTGAGACGAGCGTAATGCGAAAATTAAACCCAGGCACGTTTAATAGTTGGCAATTTCCTAAAAATACTTAGCATAGAAATGAAATTTTTACTTTTGTTTTTTGTTTTTTGTTTTTTTTTGTTGTTGGTCGCACTAAACTAACGCTAGGTGGTGCTTTATTTGTTGGTGCACGGTGCACGGTGCGTATGTGCAATATTTGCAAAGCAGACCCATTTTAAGTGCATGGCTTTCAGTGCCAACAACAATTAAAAATCATACAAAAAAGCAGGATGAGAAAAATGAGAAACCACCAAGCAAACAGCAAACAGAAAACATAAACAAACAAACAAACAAACAGTGTGTACTGGCCACAAACGGACGCATAATTAAAACGTCAGTGGCATGTGGTTGGCTTGCCACGAAGATAAAACTCTGCTCGTTATGTTAATGCCACACAGCGAGAGAGTGAGAGAGACAGAGAGAGAGAGAGCGAGTCAAAAGTCATTTAAGTGCGCCACTTCAAGTTTTTAATTGCAATTATAAAAATGCAAAACTTTATTTTAAACAAACTTTACATTTTGCTTTCTCACTTTTTGTTTTTTTTTTGCATTGCTCAACTTGACAAATTCTATGATCATTGCAGCACTGGCTGCCCCTTCTGCTGCCCCTACACCTGCCCCACCAGTGGGCAGTGGTCAGAAAGTTGACTTGTGGCAGGTAATTTAAAGTGCAGCTGCTGCCACAGCCACAGTGAAGGTCAATTAAACTCAACCCGAATGCAATTGAGTTCAACTCTAAACTAAGAAATAATTGCCATCTTGGGCATGCTTAAGATTTAAATTTATGGAAGGTATCTAAAATACAAGTGCGATTTTAATGTTTTATTTTTGCCAAAAATTTAAAAACACTTGAGAAATGTGAGTTTGGATAACTCATCTATCGAAAGTTGTTTTCTAATCAATATGGTGATACGATCAGGCTCTGACATTTGTATATACAAAATAGATACCAAAAAGACGGATATATTCCAAACTTAATCAGCATATATATAGTATATATATAGTATATATATAATAGAGTATATCTATATATACTTTATGGCGTTCGAAACGTCGACTGGGAGATACCCTCAACAAACAATCTGAAAATAGTTTATATTTTTCTTATTCCATCTAAATACAATTTGTACAATTGTTCAAACTTATGTCAGTTTATATTCTATATCAATTGCAATGCTATATTTTCACAGTTGTTTCTTTAACTGCTATCGATAATCGATTTAGTCTGGAAATTATCGATAAGATGAAATAAATTGAATAATATACGAGAACCTTACTCATAACTTTAAGTCTTGGGTACTTTGAACCTCTGAGAATGGCTTCATAGACGGACAGACAGACAGATGACTTGTCTGTTGATGCTGATCTAAAATATATATATACTTAATGGGATCAGGGTCGAGTTTATCTGCTGCTTGTTACATACTTTTAGCTCAAGTTCATTATACGCTCTTCACATGTTTTCAGTGGATTCATTTTATAATCATAATAAACAAAATTTAAATAATAAATAATATAAAATCAAAAATATTTCAAATCTTTGGGTCCCCAATGCAACGAAGAAAAGGTGATTGCAGCTTAACTACCCCTTCACAGTTGAATACGACAAATGTGCTTTATATACAATTATTCAATCTATAAAAATAAAATACAAATAAATCTTGTGCATTTTCTGTGTGTGATTTGTGCAGGTTTCTAAGAGATTATGGAATGTGTTGTTACTGGTGGTGTTACTGGTGCAGCATATATATAGATATATGGTATATAGTATGTGGATGTGCAATGATGGGGAGCAAAGGAGCTATATCAAGCCGAGAGTGCGCAAATGAAAAATGAAACTTTTATAATAATTAACACACTTAACAAAGGCACTCTCAGTCTGATGGGGGGGAGGGGAGCTGTAGCTCTAAGGATCTAAGCAACTAGAGAACAACATTCAGAAAACACACTAGAAAACCAATAAAATAAGAAGAAGAAGAAGAAGACAACACCGAGAAATTATAATGAAAATGATGGCAAGTAATTGAAACTGAAGCACCTTGGAAAATATATATATATATATATATATGTAAAGTGTAACAGCTTATCAAAGGATAACTAAGCAAAATGGTATGGCTTTATTTTTAAATGGATTTTGTTTTTAGGTTTTTAATTTTTATTTTTTTGTGGGTTTTGTTTTTTTTTGGTTTTGGTTTTTGTAAAACGAACAGACCTGGCTTTGATCGAGACGACTTTGCCGCCGACGGGCATATTTTCCTTGACATAGATCGGCCCATAAACGGTATGGTCCCAAACTGGGGGATTGTTGGCCCGATCGACCACATCGATCTGTACTTCGACCGTTCGCGATAATGGCGGATAGCCCTTGTCTTGGGCCATCGCCTCTAATTTGTATGTCTCGCGCTGTATTTCAAATACATTTTCAATTCAATTTGTACATTTTTTTTTCGTTTTTCGTTTTTTTTTTTTTTTTCAAAAATACAAGCACGTTTCAAAATCAAGCGAGCGTTGGACAGAAAAAAAGGCAAAATACAAAAAAATTTATATATAGTTTGGAAAAATACTTTTGGTTTTTTTTTCTTTCATTAAACAAAATAAGGCAAATTGTTTTCGTTTTTTTTTTTTGTTGTTGAAAAAATCAAAATTGTTAAAGTTGTAACCAACACCTTTTATGGGGAAAGTAGACAGCACTAAAACTTAAAATTCAAAAAAATGTGTGGAAACTTGAATGATTTCCATTTGATTTTATACTTTTTCTTCTTAATGGCTTTTTCAAAAGTATATTTTTCTCGCAGTGCAAATTATTTGTAAATCAAGTCTCGACCCTAGCCTTCAAAATGTAAACAAAATAAAATATATATGGTAGATATATATATGTATATTTTGTTGCCGTACTGGACAATAACTGAAAATCGCATACACAATATATATATAATAATAATAATTCAGTTTTGGAGAGCATAAGTACAAATATATATTTATATGTATAAATATTATTAATCTTTTGTGGTATAGAAAACTAAATGCATAACAAATGAAATCAAAAAAGAAAAAAAGAAGGGCTTTGTGCAATTTTCGTAGCATACTTTTTGAATTTGTTTTTTTTTTTGTATTTTTTATTAATTTTTTTCATCGTTTTTCGACTATTGCTTTTTAACATTTTTGAACAGTTTTATTTACCTTTTGTTTTTGTTTTTCCTAGAGCTTAAACTAAACTGCAACCTTGCGAATAAAATGCATTTCTTAATTAGTTTCTTTTCGTTTGTTTTCCCAATTAGAACCAACACCAAATTTATGTGGAATACCAAACAAACTTCACACTTATTTCAAGCAACTAGTAATTTTACCATATGTGAGAGAGAGAGAGAGAGACGGGGAGTTTAAAAGAGTTCAGATCTGTTATTGTTGATGTAGTTGTTGCTGTTGTTGTTGTTGTTGTTGTTGGGTAAGCAAATCCAATGGGAAAAGTGTTGTTGTTGTTGTTGTTATTGTAATTGTTAGGTTAGGGTGAATGAGAAAGAGTTGCAGCAAAATGCAAAATTACCCGTTAGCCGTCATTACATGAGACTGGCATACACAAAAAGGTCGCTCAAAACAAACACCAACAACCATTAGTTGTTTTTCTTTCTTTTTTGTTAATAATTCATTCTTTTTTTTTTTTGGCATATTTTCGAATAAGTTTTCAAATGGATTTTGTTGTTGATTGCACAAAAATCAGCGTTGAGCTTTTATATGCCACAAAAAAAAAAAAACAGTTGATTCGCAAAACTGTATGTTAAATTAACAGAGAGGGAGAGAGACGAAAGACAGCAAAAACAGAGTATGTTAAAAAAGTACTTGTACTGGGCAAGCAGCTTATAGCTAGTTTCGTTAGGTGAGTAAACTTCGTTAAGCGAGTACACGTACAGTTCGTTTAGTGAGTACACACTTTTTGTTGCTGCTTTAGCAAGGACACAGTTCAAGTTACTTAGCTGTAGTAGCTGTCAAAGTTTGACTCACAAACGAAAGCTTAAACCTATGTTAGCTAAAATGCTGTTAACATATGTAATATTCTAACAGCTGTTACGATTTCGACTTATGAATTATCTTTAGTAAAAGTAGTATTAATAGTGTTTGTTTTGTAGTACAGAGTAGTGTGTAGCGTTTAGTGTTTAGTGTTTAGTATAGTGTAGTGTATTGGCTATACAAACCTTGCCTTAACCGATGTTACAACCGTACCCACAGTGACATTCTCGCGTATATGAATCGGCCCATAAATGCTCTTATCCCAAATGGGCGGCTTATTATTGCGATCGACGACATCTAACTCAACATCGACATCGGCATATGAGGGCGGATCGCCACGATCCGAGGCGCGAACGCGCAGACGATAACGATCGCGCTGTTGATTGATTGATTGATTGATTGATTCATGTTTTTTCATTGAATAACAGTTGATGTTTTGGTTAGCCAAAGTTAGCCAAATGTTAGCCACAATGTTAGGCGCCGCGCATGTTATGTTAGTTGGTTTTGGTTTGTGTATTGGGTGTTACGTTACGATTACGTATTTTCAATGGCATCGTTGTCGTTTACGTTACGTTTGAAATTTAATTTGATAGTTTTTGTTTTTTTTTAATACAAATACAAATAGATGAAACATAAATCAAATGAAATCAGGCAAATATTGGGACAAAAACTAAAGCATTTTCTCGGGATAAGCAAAGGATTAAATACACGCTGGACTTATTTTGTTGATATGATAAACATTCAGATTATGGAAGGGATTTTGATTAGTTTTCTATGTTTTGACGAGACTATCTCTTGATTGATCCTGACAACAATATGATGAAGTGTGTTGCAAAGTTTGCTGAAGTAGTGGGTGTTCGCCAACAGCACTGGATTATTACGTTAAGATTTTATGTGCAACATGAAAAATGTGTTTCGGCAAACAGAAAGTTAGTTTTCCCATTTTCAATTTTGTTTTTTTTTTTTTTAGGTTAGCTTACAAAATTTGCATATTTTTTTAATTGAGTTTCAATTTGGTTTGTTGCTGGGTTAGCACACAGTTATATCTAAACACTTCGTTAGATATGCACAGATAGATATATGTATATATATATGTGATATATAGGGGATAGTTTGACGATTACTTACAGGATAACAACCCTAAATTGTTGGGATATATTTGGATAACACCATTTCATATGTAAATATATAGAAATCGGAAATGAAAAAAATGAAACAGAAAACTAAAATTTGATTAATTTCTCGCCTCAATCAGCTGACTGCGCACAGAATCGAAATTAGTTGGAAATTAAATATTGTTAAAGGTGCAGTTAAATAATATATTTAATTAACTTCGCCTACATTGAAAATAGTTGACTATTTCTTGATTGATTGATTGATAGATTATATATATATATATATATATAACACAACAAAAAAGTAAAGACTTATGAATATTGAACTGCATTTTCCATCGGCATGCAAAAATGCTCAAAAACGCTCAATCAAATCTCGATTGATATGAAAAACAAAACAATCAAAAAATATTCATTTTTATTTATATATATTAATTGGTTGGTTTTTGATAGCTGTCAGCAGGAGACCTTCAAAAATTCGCATAGTCTCGACAAAAAACGTTGTTTATTTTATCTAATTGATTTTGGGTGGGTTTTTTTTGGGATTTTTTTGGGGAGGGTGGCAAAAAAAAGGAGTAAAAATATTGGCAAACAAAATAATCAGAAAATACATTTGAAAAAGAAGTAGATTCTGTAGTTTTTATGATTTGATTATTATATTTTCATTCACATTGGTTAGCCATCAAAAATGTGGTGTACAACGATGCTCAAAAATAGGCGTGATCGTTATAGTTATATAGATATATAGCTATATATATATATGTATAGGGGGGCAAGTTGTTAAAACCTGTATTTGTTTTTTTTTTTACAGTTTACAGTTTACTTAAGCCTATAAGCCTAACACCAAAAAAAAAAAAATGATTAAAGCAGCAACTGGCAGCTAAAAGCTTGCGGAACCACAACCCAGCCTGAATAATGCACCCATATAAAATAGCACTTTTATTTTTTTGAGTGTATGTTAGTTGATTTGTTTCAAAAAATGTTAAAAATCAATTCGCTTGGCATTCGAGTTTTACTCTTAACTCTTTTCTTTGTTTTTCATTTGTTTTTTTTCTTGGTTTTTTTGTTTGTTGGCCAATTACGCACTATAAACTAAACTAAACAAAAAAGAAAACACAAATAAAAGATGTGAAATGAAAGGAAAACTAACTGAAAAAATTGGATTACAAAATGCATAGAATATATATTTGGCATTTTTTGTTTCTTATATATGTATAGATATATTTATAGAGAGATGTAGTTTATTTTTTCGATTGTGACAAAAAAACTTGCACTGCTTTTCACATCGAATTCGTTTTGTGGACTATCAATATTAAAAAAACAACACAATTGATAGCTGCCTAAAATATATATATATTTTGTATCGGGGGAAAAAGGCTTCTTTAAACAAAAGAAAGGTGCAGTTGAAATCATAATTAGTTGAACTGAATACTCAAATTGTTCTGCTGCTGCTGCTGCTGCTGCTGCACACAAGCCACGTTCGAAAACTCTCTGAATCTCAGCTTAGTTTCAAGTTTCAAATTTGTTAGTAAATCAAAATCATAAATATATATTTGAGCTATTTTCTTGTTTCTTTCTTTTTTGTATGTTTAAAACAATAAAACTTGGTTAGTTGGGTTCGCAAACATAACGAAAACAATAAATATATAAATAAATTGAGTATATTTTGATGCGTTCATTTGCTGGATAACAAAACACTTACGTCAAGCGGCTTCTTCAGCACTATCCAACCGGATTCGGCTTGTATGTCAAAGTATTCCAGATCGTTGGGATTGAAAGGAGCGCTCAGGCTATAGACGATGGCGCCGTTATTATCGGCATCCTCATCGGAGGCAGACACGCGCAGTATATTTGTGCCAATGCTCGCATCCTGTTTCACATTCTCCACATATTTCTAAGGAATATGAAATCTTTATAAATAATTATTCTTAAAAGGAGTTTACTTCTCAGCTCACCTGTCGATCGAAGAGTGGCGGATTATCGTTGACATCGGTGATCTCCACGGTGAAGGAGCAGACACCCTCCAAGCTGGGATCACCCTGATCGGTTGCCTTCACCGTTACGGATACAAATTTACCATCATCCCCTTCCCGGTCGAAGACTTTGTTGGTCGAAACTTCGCCGGTTTCCTCGTCAACGGTGAATTTGGTGCCCTTCTGATTCGGTTGCTGTACAATCGAGTATTTAACCTGTACAACAGAAAAGAGAACAGAAAAATATGCAAAATTTATATATTTAATTTTTGACACGATTGTGGCGTTGCCACCCCGTCGACACGCAAAGCGCACACGCTGCAAGTGCATTGAACTTGAGCGTGGCAACTCTGTCGCGGAATCTTGTCACGAAATCTCGCTCAACTCAACTCAATCGAGCCAGTCTAATACAATTTGACATAAACGTGTCGTGGCCCAAAAATGCAACCAAGCCAAACCCCCCATTAATAGTTGAGCCATAATAATTACAGTCCTTAAACTTTGTACGTTTGAGCAATTAGAAGCGCCAACTGAACTGCAATTAAATTTTGCATGATTTGCCTTTCGACTTGGTTTTAGCTTTAAAATAATTATGGAATTAGTGTTTAACATTTAATGGCAGTGCTGTAAATGAAAGCAAAGTTTTTAAACACTTTCGTTTGTGCTGCAAAGCTATGGATGACCTAACAATAGGTTGCCAAATTAATTGACTGATTGATCGGCTGAGATTTAGAGATTTTGATTTATCTCTATCAAGGATCCCATAGAAATCGTAGTTTGAAAACTAACTTTAAAATGATTCAGTTTGAACCACTGGCAGTCACTAATTTTTGATCTTTCTCTATCTGCAATGCTATAAATATCGTGTATCGATTATCGAAACAATCGATAACTTGGCAAAATGAACATTTCTGTATTAAAACCCGAACTACAACTTATAGACAATACGGTTTGACATTCTGATAGTAACAAATTTGTAGTCTTTATATATGTATATATGTCGTTTACCGATTTTTGAAACAATCGATAACTTGGCAAAAGAAACCTTTCCCTTAAACGAAAAATATAATTAAAATACGATACATTTTGGCAAATCTTTGATTGTACTCTATCAAGATCACTTATCGATTATCGAAACAATCGATAACTTGTCAAAATTAATTTGTTTAGTTGGTCAACGCCACTCACCTGTCCATTGACGCCCTTATCCTCATCGGTGGCGACAACTTTGATGACAGGACTGCCATTGGGGGCGCCCTCCTCAACTTTGGGATAATAGGTGCCGCAATCTTTGAACACGGGCTTATTATCGTTGACATCGGTGATGAAGACGACGACAACAGCCGTCGAGGTGTGAATTGTCTGATCACCATTCACACAGCACGAACCGTCGTCCATCGCTGTCACATTCAACTCGTACTTATCCCGATCGAGGGAGATGGCCTTGTTGTGCAATCGGATGACGCCCGTGATGTCCTCGATGACAAACTGACCCGACGAGGTGCCGCCACCAACGAAACCAAAGCGCACATTATCCCCATCCTTGTCGGAGGCAACCACAGTGGTGACCAAAGTATTCGGACCGGCATTCTCATCCACATTCGGTGTGTAAACCTGTTGCGAGAACTTTGGTTCCTCGTCGTTTTTGTTCTTCGTGTAAACACGAACAGTTGCCGTGCCCGATTTGGGAGGTTCTCCTTTATCCTTGGCGGTCACAATAAACTCATAGTATGCATTATTATTGTCCGCATCGAGTTGTTTATTGTTCACAATGATGCCATTCGAATCGACCGCAAAATGATCATCGGAGACAAGATATTCGATCTCGGCATTCGCACCCGAATCCGAATCCATTGCCTTCACCCGCAGGATGCTGGTGCCCAGGGGAATATCCTCGTCGACGTTGTGTGCCTGATAATCGGGCAGCTCGAATTTGGGCGCATTGTCATTGACATCTGTGACGCGTATTGTGAGCTGTTGAAGTTGTTTGTTGCATTTATAATTGGATGCCAGAATCGATTTATGTATATTCAGTTGTAGTCAGTTGACTCACCTCAACGGACGTGGAAAAGCCGCCCGAGTCCTCGGTGGCTGTCACAATCAGTGTGTAGACATGCGGCTGCCGCAGGTCCTCAAAGTCCAGCTCCTTGGCCAGCTTGACAATGCCCGACGAGGGTCCAATGTTGAAGGTGCCAGCACCCTGACCCTGCGCCTTCAGCGTATAACGGATTTCTCGGTCCGCAAACGATTTCGCCTTCACCGAAATGATGCTGCAAATGATGGGTAGGAAAATCAGTTAGAAAGTGGGCGTGGCAACCATCTGACAGTCTGGCAAATGGGATTGTGGTTACCAGTTTAATACACATGTTTGCGGAGTGGCAACTAGAGACACAAGTCCTAGAAATGTCTCTTGGAAATGTCCTTGACTATGACAAATGTTCGCTGGAATTTAAGCTGAGCCAATCTTTTTTAGATCGAAAATCGAGTCAGAACTGCGCTTTTAACTTTCAGCGTAGTATTTAACTAACAGTAAAGATATGTTTAGAAAGTCCTGTCAGAAGTTTTAACTGGTTAAAGTAAGTATTGCTTAAGAGTATAATTTGAATAGGAAATTTGTACTTTTTTATGATAGAATTTAACATGAAAGAAACGCGTTTTCAGCTTTAAGTGTATTACTAATCTATAGATCAAATTATGATTAAAAAGGGCTGGTTTTTCAAGATCGGATAACAATTGGCCAAGTTATGGCTATGGAAAGTTTGTAAGAGTTATAATTAGACTGCATTTTGAACTTGGAATGTAGTATTAAATGAGAGATTAAACTATAATCAAAATCAGAAGTTTTGCTAAAGTTGCTGGCTGCTTAAAGTTTACACCCATTCCCAGAAGCTCTTTTTGGCAGTATAATTTTAACATGGAAGTTGTTCTTGAATCGCGTTTCCAACTGTGAATGTAAAATCTGAGCAGTCTTGACCAAATTGTGGTTGTGGAGAGCTTCAACCTGTGCTTATAATCACTTTTCAGGAATTTAATCTTAACAGGATTTTCGCACCAAAATCTTAATCTCAATTTTGAATGCAGTATTAAATTCGAAGTCAAATTATGTTGAAAAAGTGTTGATCAAGGGAAGCTCTTTTTTTAAACTAAAATTTTAGCATACAAATCACTTCAGAATCGCTCTTTCAAATTTAAATTTATTATTATTACCATGATTAGAAAGCCTTGATTTTTTAAAATCCAATCACTTTAGAAAGACTGATGTCTGTTTAAAGTCTTGACGGGTTTTAGGAACGGATAAAGAATTGCAAGATGTGCGATGAGCACACTTCATGATATTAACTGCCAGGAGCCACTTGAGGGATATACAACAAATGCACGCATATATTAGAAAGGAGGCGGGTTCTGGCTGTGAGAGAACTTAATTTGTATTCTGTCACTCGGTCGACTGCCCTTTCGACAGTGCTCAGTTGGCATTTCAATGAGGCAAAACTTTGGACTGTTTGTGGACTGCATTCTGATTGTTGTTGTTGTTGTTGTTGTGCTCTGATTCGCATAACTTTGCAATTGTGATTTGTCTGCCTGCCTGTTTGCCTGCCTGCCTTCAACTTACTCGGAGTCCTTTTTCTGGTTCTCGGGTATCTCGGCCTCGTAGCCGGGCATATAGAATTGTGGGGCTCGCTTGCCGCCCACAATCGACAAACGCTCCTCGGGCGTGCTCTGGAAGCGACGATCATCGACCTTGCCATTCTGATCCTCGGCCTTCACATACAGCACATACTCCATGTCCAGCTGGAAGAGATCTGTGCCCCGTGTTCGCACCACACCCGATCTCTCGTCCACCTCGAAACGGCCGCCGGTCCGATCTCGTACAATAAAATAGTGTATATTGTGATCGGTGTCGGGATCGCGTGCCTGCAGCGTAAACACTGGCGTGTTGGGTGGTGCATTCAGTTGGACCACCGCCTGCATGGGCAGGGGTCGATTGATGAAGTACGGCGGCTCATCGTTCACATCCTTGACAAGGATAATCACACGCTGGTTGTCCGTGTACTTGATGCCAGCTGCAAAGAAAATGCCAAATTTTAGTTTTGTTTATTTTTCGGTTTTATTTTTGCATATTCATGTGTGTGTGTGGATAGATACTTTTTGGATGCACTGTATGCTGTGTGTGGTGAACGAAAAAGTTTTCGTTTTTTTTTTTTGCTTATTTTTAGGTTTTGCTGGCATTGTTATTACAGCTAATGGATAGTTGGTTTAGTCAAGGGGAAAACACAAAGAAAGCAGACGGAACAAAACAAAAACAGAGAATTGAGAATTGAATTTCCACCCCCAACCCCTAAAATGGCAGCCCCTTTTAAGGGGGCGTGTAATTTAAAGCGCTCGAGTTTCACTTAAGCCAAATGCAAATGCAATGAGCCAGAAAATCAGTCCAAGGCAGCCGAATGTTGCAGGTGGCAACCAACTGTGCCTCACTTGATAAATATATTTGCAATTTACACAGGTGCCAATTCTTGCCCTGCTATAATATTAAGCATTAAACAAATATCTTAAGGTTTGTTCATTGGAACCAATTTGAATATTTGTTGGTAAAGATATTCAATTAAATGTTGAACTTAACATATAAATGTGAAAATTACGGACCAAAAATAAATCTGAAGTGGCAGCCAACTGAAGACGCTTTCAGCGTTCGAATAACATGAATATAAATTATATGCATACACTTAAAATATTGAGCAGTAGCCTCCTCTACTCACTCAATCCCAAACACCTTATTCAAATTTAAATATATTTCTTGGCTCTCTGAGTGTGTGTGTTGAATTCAGCTAAAATCCACTGTTAACTAAAATCCCTTTTAGCATTTCCAAGTCTCGAGTTCTGGCAACAAAACAAAAACTGTTTTTAATTTGAAAGAAACTGCTTCTAAGAATTCCACAAAACTTGCACATTTTTTGTTAACAGAGTTCAACACAAAAAAAAAAAACAGAAAAAACAGAGCTTGACGGAGAAAAAATCAATAAAAAAGCCGCCTGGCGACCAGGCCGGAAAAAAAGCGGAGGAGTGAAAAAAGTAACAAAATATAATGTGAGGGTCGACGTTTTGCTACCTTTTGCAAAAATGTCTGCAGCGGAAAATACCAATCATGTTGTTGTCGTTGTTGTTGGTTAGCGCAAACAGCAGCAGCAGCAACAACAAAAGCAACAACAAAAGGAACAACAACAACAACAACAAACATGGCAGCCCTACAAAAGGACCAAAAAGGAACCCCAATGATGTCGCTGGCGCTTATTAGAAACGTGTGCTGCTCTTTGCAGGTGTGTGTGTGTGTGTGTGTGTGTGTGTGTGGGTGTGGGTGTGTATAGAGAGTGTAGTGGTAGACAAATAGGACAGACGATTTACTTGCCCTTTTTGCCTAAAGGGGGATTCTGAGCACAAAAGCAAAATGAAATTCGAGCGCGATAAAAAGAAAGAAAAAAAATAAAAATAAATAGAAGTGAATAACAAGAGGGGGTGGTGAGTGGGCGGGGATAGGGGATAGGGGATAGGGAGTGACAGAGGTAGCAGCACAGCATGTGTAATTTCTCAAGTGCAGCAAAGTGAATTGTAAACAGGCGACAGGAGAGCAAAACCCACACACCAAATACCCCCCGTCAACTGCCCCCATCGACTTACTTGCAGCAAGCAAATCTCGTGTTGCAAGACAAAACCAAAACCAGAACCAGAACCAAAAAAATAAAAAGACGCATAGCAAATATAGCCACGCCTCAAGCAATGCTAATAAATATATATATATATATGTATATATAAATTCATATCTGTTGCTCAGCAGATTGCACAAAAATGCAATAATGGCATTAGGGCTGTTTCCTGCCGGCGTCTTGCCAACTTTTTTGATACACTTGCCAAGGAATACATCGGATTGAAGCAAGAAAAAAAACCTTAAATTGTACTATTTGTATATTAAATAGTAAAACATATTTAAATTGTAAAAAGTGGTTGTCAAGCAGTAAATAATAAAACTTAAATTTCTATATTCTTGATTCAAGTTTTTTTTTTTTGTATTTTTCGAAAGAAAAACCTTGAATCAAGACAAGAAAAGGCTTTCAAATGCACATTTTAAGTCACATTTTAAGCAACGTATTCTTTATTTAAGATTTGTGCGAGCTTGTCTGGAATACACCCGGTAACAAAAAACTAATTAAAATGCTTATTGTAGAAAGAAAATTATTGAATCAAGTCTCATTTGCAGGAACACATTCTCAACGTAAGATTGGAGTTCTGAATTTATACTTGAATACTTAATTGAATATGTTTCATTTTAGCATGAAACAATGGCTTAGCTGTTTCTACGGCAAACAAAACATTAATTGAAAGTATATTTATAGCTGTAATTGTAAGCTGCTTATGGAGCACTCAGAATGAGTGTAATACTGAGACTCTGGCAAGCCAGTGTATGTCCAATTCGACGAAGTTGCCTCAACTTTCTTGTTGCAGGCAAGCTTTGCTATTTGCCAGCTTTTTAGCATTGTTGCAACGATTTTCTATGGCTTATTGTGTGTGGCAACGACGGCAGCAGCAGCAGCCGCAGCAGGTAAAGTTAAAATTTAAATAATACGAAAAATACAAATGAAAGTTGCTGCTGTTGCTGCTGCTGTTGTGGTTGCTGTTGTTGCTGTTGGGAAGGGAGCGTACAGCATTGTGCATTGGGACGTGCCACAAAGCAGCAGCCAACATGGCGGAAATCCGTGGCGACAATGCACACGATGAAAACTGGCAGCAGACGTAACGAGAAAAATGTCAAGGGAAATTGCAAGAGGTAGGGTGAAGGAGTGCGGGGGGGGGGGGGGGGGCGTGGTATTTCAATAGAGGTGACTTGAAGTATTAGATTTGTTATTTGTTATTGTGTTTGGGCAAAAAATGGCAAAGCCGGAGAAAAGATTTTCAACATCAATTTTATTTGGACTTGGCAACAACTTCAAACAATCTACAATTCATCATTTGATTTAGTTGAGTTTCGGAATAAGTAACAGAAATTGAAAATAATCGTACAGTTTCCGAGCGTATTTTTTTGGGGTTGCCGGGTGGCTTCAGCTCTTGCTCAAGAGTTGTGTAATAAACAATAAATAAGTTGGGCAGAGAAATTGCTTTTCGTCGGTTAGTGTTTTTGACATCGCAAATTGAGACAATCAATTTAATTTGATTATTTTCAAACGAAATATCCTTTTCCGAATACTTACTTAATTATTGTCGTCAGACAGAGGAAGCTTTATGGCAATAAATACTTGAAAACCATTGGGAACTTTAAACTTAAATGAAGAAAAGTTTATTAAAGTAAATGAACTGCTTGACTTGATGTAAAAAATATACTTAATACAAGCAATCAGCTCAAAGTTTTCTAAAATAAATAAATAAAAATAATAATTATTAAAAATCATCCTTTAACCAAAAACTAAGCACAGCTAAGAAGATAGATACTACTAAATGCGTTTTAGCTGCTATTAGCTTGATAAAGTAGATAAAATAGTAGGCTTAAAGTAGTAAACATTTGTGCATATTTTAGGGAAATTCAACTTAATACAACAAATAGAAATAGATGGTTTTATCTTAACTTTCCACACACTCCACTCCTTCAATGCTTTAGATACAATTGTTTTTATGTATACAAATCCAAGTGATTTATGTTTGACTATTAGTTGAATTTTGTATTTTGTATATTGCTGGCAACTATCATCATCATCTACTTTAGCTGATACACACACTCTCTCCTCGGTTGCTTGCTGTGCTTTGCTGTCAGATGACATCACATTATGAGACCATTAAAATAAATTTCCAAAGCGTAGAGCATAAATAAATTTTGCTTACGTTGCACGTAACACTCGTAGCAACAACAACAGCAACAGCAAAAAAAAAATACAACTTTTAGTTGTCAATTTTGCTAACAAATTAAATTTTTATGCGCATCAATTTGAACACACAGTGATTCCAAGGACCCAAGCAACGAAGACTCAGAATTGAGGATGGGGGATTGAGGACCACCCAAGCAAGCATTTTTCCCTTCCTGTATTTATGTGCTTATAAGAGAGGGAGAGAGTTAGGTAGAGACAAAAAGAGTGACAGAGAGGAGAAGAGTGACAGATAGAGAGAGAGAGAGTTGTGTGCTCCCCACGCAACTTCCGTTGCGTCAAAGGACGACAGAGTCGCATATCAAAGGAGAGAATAGTAGTCTGTACATGTATTTGTGTACACCCGGAAAAAAAAGGACATTTAACTTAAATAGATTTTGATATATGATATATATATATATATATATATGTGTGTATATTTAAACTCATATTTATATTAAAAAAAAAAACAAATATGACAGCAAATATCCAGAAGCAATTTTGAAACATTTTCAAATAGATTTCTAGTATTATTTTTAATCCCAAAAATTACAAAAAAATTGTTGAACTTTATTTTTGAAAACTTGACAATTAAATTCCACTGTAAGTAAAAAAGAAAACAAAAAAAATCAGAAGAAGCACACTTGAAGCTGTGCTAAGCACTTGAAGCTTGCCAGACGCTGCGCCTTTCGAGTTGCGAGTAGCTTGTCACGCATGTGAGGCAAGTTGTAAGGAGGCGCATGGAACGCATGGAGGAGGTAAGAGAGAGTTGTCATCAGTGCAGCCACCCTAAGCGACAGACATCAGGGCTGTGCTGTGCTGTGTGGCATCGACTGCTGTGCAACATCAACAACTCATCTTGCCACACTCTCTTCGCACTTCGCACTTTGCACTTCACACGGCGGAAGCAGGAGAGCAATAATAAGAAGAAGCAGCAGAAGAAGGAGAAGAAGCAGAAGCCGAAGCAGAAGCAGAAGCTGGTTTCCACTTAATCCATTGAAACAATAAGCAGCTTTGTTCTTTGCCTATCCCAACGAACTTGTCGCCGTGGCTTTGGGTGCCTTTAGCAACCGTGTATTGTACCCCTTTCAAAAGTTCGACAAAAAGCTAAATGCGATGCTTAAATTTGGAGTGCGCGACTGCTAGATACCCTGTGCGCTACAAATGGCAATTGAATGCAT